CGATGAAATGGTTCAGAGGGGACTTCAATTGGGTGAAGATATCCAGCTGGCAGCAAAGAAGGTCTTTTCCGGCGCTGGCAGAGGTCGCAAGTGGCGACATATCGACGTACGCTGCGGTACAATCCAGGCCAGAAAAATCGACGTCGCACGCGGTCGTATGTGCGGGAAACGCCGAGGTGTCCCGCTGTTGGTGCGTCGTGAAGTTGTTGAAGTATGGCAGGCCGTAGATGACGAGGGATGACAAGCAGAAGCTCAGGGCCTTCAGTGGTGACGTTGCGGCGGTAGAGGATGCCGTCATGCAGCACGAACATACGGGATTCAGCGTCATGGCTGTCAGACTGGATGGCGTCGATGATAGTGCGCAATGACTCATCCCGTCGTTGTTCGATGCGCATATCGCTGACGTCTGTAAACGCCATTACTCTGCTCTCCAGGTCAGGCGCAACGGGATCAGGAGGATCTACCGGATATCGAGAAAGACAGTCTGCGTCCTTGTGCAAACGGCCAGACTTGTAGCTGACGCTAAACGAAAATTCCTGAAGCCTCAGAGCCCAGCGAGCCAGACGTCCAGTCGGGTCCTTCAGAGAAGTCAGCCAACAGAGGGCGTGGTGGTCCGTAACGACAGTGAAAATGCGACCATATAAATATGGCCGAAACTTGGCGACGGCCCAAACTAAAGCTAGACACTCTCTCTCGGTGATGGAATAATTCATCTCCTGGGGAGAAAGCAGGCGACTGGCGTAAGCTATCACGCACTGTCTACCGTGGTGCCGCTGAGCGAGAACTGCGCCGATACCGTGGCCACTGGCGTCGGTGCGAACCTCTGTGGCAGCAGAAGGATTAAAGTGGGCAAGTATGGGGGGCGTAGTTAGGTAGCCGATGAGAGCGGCGAACGCTTGAGCCTGCTCAGGGCCCCATGAGAATGTGGTATCCTTCTTCAGCAAATCTGTCAGTGGCCGGGCAACGTCAGCGAAGTTTTTCACAAAACGGCGAAAGTAGGAACATAAGCCGACGAAGCTACGGACGTCGGATGTAGAACGGGGCACTGGAAAGCTACGGACGACGCGGATCTTTTCGGGATCTGGTTGGACACCATCGGCGTTTACAATATGGCCCAGAATGGCAATCTGACGGTGACCAAATTGACACTTCTTGGAATTGAGTTGTAGCCCAGCTGTTCTGAAGACTGCGAGAATTGCAGCGAGACGGGTCAGGTGGCTATCGAAAGTAGATGAAAAGACTATCACATCGTCTAGGTAACAAAGACAAGTAGACCACTTGTAACCACGCAGGAGAGAGTCCATCATTCGTTCGAATGTGGCAGGGGCGTTACATAGTCCAAAAGGCATGACCTTAAACTGGTATAAACCATCTGGTGTAATGAAGGCCGTCTTCTCGCGGTCCATTTCATCGACAGAAATCTGCCAGTAGCCGGACCGGAGATCTATAGACGAGAAGTATGTAGCCCCGTGTAGGCAGTCCAACGCGTCATCGATGCGTGGTAGCGGGTACACGTCTTTTCGTGTGATCTTGTTTAGGTGGCGATAGTCAACGCAGAAGCGCCAGGTACCATCTTTTTTCTTCACAAGGACGACAGGGGAGGCCCAAGGACTACTTGATGGTTCTATGACACCTTTGTTGAGCATTTTGTCCACTTCTGCTTGGATAACTCTACGCTCAGTGGGGGAGACACGATAGGGGCGTCGGCGAATAGGACTGGCGTCACCAGTATTTATACGGTGCTGAACAGTGGATGTTTGCCCTAGAGGTCTGTCGTCGAAAGAAAAAATGTCGGTATATGACGCGAGAAGGCGATGGATGTCATTGGCTTGCGCAGGGTTGAGGTCGGGTGCAATCATCTTCGAGAAACGATCTGGCCGAGAACAGGTGCTGTTCGCTACTGGAGACTGAAGTAAATCAATCTCGGTGGTGAGCGCTGCTATTTCGAATTCGTCAGCATTAGATACGCTGGCCAAGAACATGCCACGAGGAAGCACTTGAGGGCACAAGCTGAAATTGAGAAGTGGAAGCGAGGTACAATTGTCAGTAACAGTCACAAGCGTATGGGGAATGGCAATGTTGCGGCTCAAGAGGACGTCGGCGAGAGGAAGGAGGACATATTGACCATCGGGAACTTGGGGCTGTGCGGTCAAAACGACGAAGGTGGCTGCCTGAGCTGACAGCCGCACATCCTGAAGAGAGCACAGGCGCGGCGGGGCAGTGGGGGGGTCAGCGACTATCTGAGGCAACTCTAGCTGAAGAACGCCTGTAGCACAATCGATCAGAGCAGAATGATTCGACAAGAAGTCCAGGCCTAGGATAATGTCATAAGGGCAGTGGTCAATCACGGCTAAAATGACAGAAGTAGTGTGGTCCTTTATACGTAAGCGGGCAGTGCACAGACCGAGAACCATCGGCGTGCCGCCATCGGCCACACGGAGCATTTGTGCAGCCGCTGGTGTCAGAACTTTCTTTAAACGTGTGCGTAGGCTTGAACTCATGACCGAAATGCTTGCGCCGGTGTCGACAAGTGCTTGTACAGGTTCGCCGTCTACTTTAACGTCTATTACACTTCGTCTGGTGGGAACGGAAAGAGGATTTGCTGCGGAAGTCGTCAATGCAGCACCACCTCCGGGGGCTGCATTTCTCAGTTTTCCGAGACAACGCGGCCGGAAGCCACGGGGGACGAGAAGCGCCGTGGCTGCGGCGAACGGGACGATGGGCGACGTGTTTGCGGCGATCGAGACTGGTGCCCACGTGGTGAAGGCGAGCGGCTGTACCAAGTGTTCCGAGAATGGTCAATGGCATTGGGCTCTTCGGCAGGTGGAAAGGTGCGGGCGGTATCGTCGAAACGGGTCATATTGGTCGTTGCGCGATGTGCCGAGGACCATGTGTTGCGGCAGTAACGGGCAATATGTCCAACGCGGTGGCAGTTGAAACATATAGGGCGGTCATCTGCAGTTCGCCACTCAGCCGGGTTGCGAGTACGTGGAGAAGACCGTCGGTCGGAGAAGGGCATCACGAAAGGGCGTTCGCTGACTCTAGGCGCGGTGACATGGCACACGGAATGCACTCCGATGTTTTCAAGCTCCCGGCGCACGATGGCTTGAACAAGAGGAACAGTAACAGGAGTGGCATCGGTACTGCGCGAATAGAACGCCGAGGGCGCCATAGCTTCCAGTTCACGACGAACAATGCGTGTAAGGTCTCCCGGCGGCGATGCACGTTGTGGTGTTGACTGGTCCTCGCAAGTAGATGTTGCAGCGGTGTTTGGGAGTCGAGCGAATGTTTGTAGAATGCGGCGACTTTTCACTTGCTCGAACTGACGACACTCTTTGATGATCGCGTCTACGGTGGAACAGCCCTTGCACATCAGGAGATTGAACGCGTCGTCGGCAATCCCTTTCAGAACATGTCCCACCTTGTCACCTTCTGTCATGTCGCTTTCGGCCTTTCGGCAGAGGGCCAGCACGTCTTGAATGTAAGCGAGGTATGACTCCGTAGGGGATTGGGCACGGCAGGCCAATTCCTTTTTGGCGGCGATCTTCCGACTGGCGGTTTTGCCAAACACCTCCCGCATCTTTGCTTTGCATTGGTCCCAACTTGTGAGTTCTTCTTCATTGTTCTCATACCACACCTTGGCCGTGCCTCTCAAATAGAACAGCACATTAGCCAACTGAAGTGTGGGATCCCATCTGTTCGGCACACTCACTCGTTCAAACATGGCCAGCCAATCGTCAACGTCGACGCCATCGGTTCCGCAGAATGTACCGGGATCCTTGAGAGGCGTGAAAACGTACGGTTGCGACGCCATGTTCGTCGGAGACGCTGACGTTGACGCGGAGGGCTGAGCATTGGCCATGGCTGGAAGGGCGATGCGACGTCCGCTGCGGAGCTCCGTTGCCTGATGGTTACCCAGCACCTCTCACCAATATGTTACGAGGTTGGTTGCTTCTGAGCGAGATGTATTTGCAGAGTAAAAACTACAGGCAAGAGACACAATGGCTGATTGGCCCAGTCGCGCGCCTGTCAGTCGCACCTCTTCCTTTTCTTCCTCTCCGTAGCAATATGAAATGTTTAGTTTGATGAAATTGATCTTACAAATTCCGAAAGAGATAGCCTACTTCATTGATTAGTTTATTTGTCTTTGTTAAGCACGTCAGAATGAATTATGAGAGCATTGAAAATGAGAGACACTGATGGTAAGGAGGCAGAAACTGAGGCCTAAATTTCTTCATGGTATATATTATAATGGAAATGCCATTAACTCTCTTGATTATCTGTTCACACCAACGTACGTCTCTAATCGTCAAGACCATTCACAAAAAATATTAGAATACAGCTACAAAACCCACTATTTCGGTAGTTCTTTTTTCGTAAAAACAACACAGGAATAAAACCGTCCACAGAATGATCTCGTAATGAAGCTAATAATGAATCCTTTTTTTCTTCCTTGTAACAACTCCTACAATATCACTGCCACTAAGAATGGTTTGCTGTCTCGAAGCGTGTGGATGTTTACAAATGCATGACTGTGACGTTGTTTTCGCTCACCAATATTCGAGTGTTTTTTTTTCTTCTCCTAAAATATTTTGAGTGCTGTTCTATTTGTTGAATCTATTGTTTCGATTGAAAACTATGTAATCAAAGTATTATGTGTACCTCCCTTACGTAATGCCTCACGGCGATGTAGGTGAAATGTAAATATATAAATAAATAAATTAACGCGAAATGTCAATATCGAGGGAATATGTCTAGTGAATGTTTACATATATTTTATAGAAGCTTGAAATGGCATCATTGTTCAGTACCCTATTTCAAACTGAAGTTGACAAGCGCCCAATGAAGCCTAGTGGTCATATAAAAAATGTGAACTGGGAAAACATTCAATTGCACTGCCTTTTTATTTTGCCAAGCTTTTGCAACGTTGCGCAATAGATACCGCAGCGAGGTACGTGTGTCATTCCCCGTGCTTCACATTTCCTGCAGCTGGAGTTGGCAAGCGCCGCTTATCATTTAATTCTACGTGGTACGTGTAGTACGTCTGTCGTCGATGAAAAAAGTACTTGCTTGGGTATAATGAAAGTTCTGTCCAGTCTACGGAGACATTTAAAACTTCGGTAAGTGTTTAATTTGTTGCGCAGCATTAGATTAAGCGAGAACGTTAGCAGGTACATTCGCACGGGCCCCATACCAATGACAGAGTGGACAAGAACCCGGTCTAGTACACTGTACCAATGGTGGCAGCTCACGACTATCACAGGCGCTAAAAGCACTAGATGGGACAAAAGCGCTGACTTCCAGTTGTAGTCGGCACTTTCATTCGTGCGAAAGTATTTTACGCGTTAGTCTGTGCTATGCAGATTGAACATCGCAAGTGTGCCAGCAACGAGTTTCAAGAGGTTACATCTCGTTAGTGTTGTAAGCGTTCCTTAGTAATGTCGTGGTATTTAAGTTAAAACCGCACCGTCGCCTTGCTGTGCATATTAGAGGATAAGAACGTATGTCTGGTGAAGAGAGCGCTAGATATATGAGAAGGTGCTTCTAACTGGCGCCTTCTTTTCCAAACAGGGTGAACAGCCAACGTCACGATATACGAAATCGAAGTAGTTCGATATTATGCAATGATGACGGGCAGCAAGTACTGTGTACAAGGTGTGCGTTACCGGAGAGCGTTCAACTTCGACGCCTTTTACAATGTGGTAGCGAGTGCTTTATCGAATGTTCATTAGGCTACATGGTGTTTTTGCGACAATAATCAATACGTGAGCTCATCTGTTCACCATTCCTCTTTCGCCTGGCTTTTAGTAAAATCTAATAATCGAAGTGAGAACAAAGGTTGCACAACGAGTGCCAGCAAATATTCTATCCAGCGCTACTACTAGACTAAAAATGTCGGAATTCCTCGGATGTAACGCAGTTTTCAATTTTCTTTTTTTCCGGCTTTGGTAGCATGAAGTAGACTTTTGCATAACAATGAGATACTGAAATTAGGGAGGATGACCTGAGTTTCGTAAAACTCGGGAATTTCGTGAACCCTGGTGAAACCCCATTTTTAGTGGGCTAACAGTACGAAAAAGCCAAATATGCCCTCAGCGCGTGCGGCTTTCTATTGATTACGATTGAGGGCTGATTCTCGCCAAGGTAGGCTGACTAATTTAGGTGGTGTTTTAAAACCGGATGCGTCTTCTTGCATTTGTTTGTCGTTACGCTGACTGTAGAAGTGCACTGAAGCGAAAAAAAATTGCCGGACACCTTTTTTTAGACGTAAGCATTGCATTAGTACATTTACATGCGTTTAATGGCTGCACTATCTATGTTTTAGAATAACCAACACTATGGCATCTGACACAACAGTTCAGGCTTCATGTTGAAGTGCGTTTCTCGGCCGGCGCACATCCTCCTGGTTTCTTTCTTCATGATGTGCTCACTACCTAAGCAACTGCGCCAGTCTCATTAGAGAGCGTCAGAATTGGGGAACCAAGAGAGTGGGTCCCCAAGCTGCGTTAGGCAGGCTGGTGTTGCGTTTGGATGAGCACCACAGTTTGAGAACTGGGTTAAACTGAGGCAGCGTTGGCTCAAACATATGGAGCGCCACAAGCGACGGAATTCAAATAATGGGACGCACGGGCTTTTGTGCGTCTTAGACCACGCTGCGTCTGCTTCGTTTTGCTGGCGACCCAAGACGCCCCGTCGGTCCATGCTAGTTTTAAATTTTTAGGTCTGAGAAAACGTGAGTGCAAGAGCACTTTGGGTTCTGCGCATGCGCTCTTGGTGCTCGCAAGGTCGTTGGGGGGACCCATATCTCCAACTTTCTCTTAGCTAATTGGATCAGCGGTATACCTAACAAAATAAATGAAGCCTTGCTATTACCAAGCTGGCAAATCTAAGCCATGCTAAGGCCGAGCTAATTAAGCCATAGAAATCAAGACTACGTTAATTAAGCTGTGTACCACTAATGCTGAGCTAAGACCGTGGTGACTAACACACGTAAATGGGACCTTGGTAAATAAACTCGAAATACTCAAAGCCGTGTCCATTCAAACAATTGTATTCAAGACAACTAATACCTCTCTTTTTAAATTATACCTAGATAATTATGTCGTCATATATGAGAACAAAACGTCGTGGTTTTCACTCCGAAGCCGACCGAGCAGAGTGAGAATGGGCTCCTCTGATGTCGCTAGCCTTGCACAAGCAGTACAACCTGACCAAAAAAAGCTGCTGCTTAGCATCCTCTGCATGAAAAGTTCGATAGTCACACCGAAAACATGACAGTCACGAGTTGAATGTGAGCCTCCTCAGAATCAGCAAGCTTGCGCACGAGATACCATGCCCATCAGGTCCTACGCCGCCAATCACTGACGGCCGCAGTGAAGATGGAGTCCAGCCACCACGTTTGCTCTACACGAGAAGCGGAGTGCTCACGCTGCAAGGCCATCGAGTGTGGCGAATAATCTATGACCTTATTAGCACAAACTACACGCACACGCACAAAGAACAATATGTCATCACACGGCGACGATGTATGGCATTCAATTTCGCCACACTCACGACGGGCCACTCAGAGCCAGCGCCCCTGGTAGCATTTGCGGCAACAAATGTTTCGACATTGTTTCTTCCGATTCATTATTGCAGAAAAACCTTCAGAAGTGTAACGTAAGCAGTAATGATCTGTATTTATTTATCTGTAATATTCGCTAGAAGCGAAACGAGCTGAGTGGGAGTGATGCGTGTGCGCCCTTGTTGCCTTCGAGGGTAGGAATTTTCATGCTGCAGGTGGACCGAAAGAACTTGTCCGAAGGAGAACAAATGCCCACGAGCAGTCCCATTCCTTCAGTTGGAAAATATATTATGCTGCATCCACGCTGGTGCTGCTGCGCTGCTGTTGTCCTGACTGAGTGGTGGTGCTGACGTCTTCACACGCGGTGTTAGTAATAAACCACCTAAAATGCCGCACATGCGTGTTTGACGCTATGAGAATTTTTGTGGCCGCTTTAGCCAACACTGATTTCTTGATCTCCGCACAGACATCCTGTCGTGACCATGTGGGGCGAGCTCAGGGCAAATTCGGGTGCCCGAGAATCTCGGGCCAACCCCCATGGCACTCTTGAAATCGAAAAAGTGTAATAAGACACACAAATCTAGACAAGTACAGCTCTGGCCATTTCGCGATTTCTGTTGGCAACATGTGCCAGCCAAACGTTATTTCAATCAACTACAAGCCAATGACTACTCTGAATAGTCTGGAGTGCTTTAGGGGCCCGGGCTGCTGTATGCTTTCATATGATGTAGTCGTCGCATTGCGCAACCGTGGTGAAGCCACGTATAGCATAGCCGCTTGTAGCATATTGAGCTGGTTCTTCTTGTTCTTGGAACCATAGTTAACTATATATACACTACATATACACTATATTACACTCTTGATCAGTACGACTCTGACGCTAGTGCCTATAGTAGCTGCAACGAACGGTGTTTGAGCGAGCTTGGGAATGCTGGGTAATACACAGTTTTTCTAATATACGTTCATTCGGCTCAGTTTGGATTCTTGGGCCCTGAGTTCGCTTTGCCGCCGATGAAGTTCAGCAAAAGTTTAGCAGTTAGGCTCTTTGACATATTTAGATTCACCGATTATATTCGGCTCACGAAGTTCACAACAGTCCTCCTTTTTTTTATTCACAAGGAAGTGAAATCACAGCAATCAACAAGGCCGCAAGTGAGTTTGAGGCTGCAAGCACAAAGACTTGGCAAAACCGTGTACAACCGATCATTTTCATGGTGGCTAAGCGATCGCAGCGCCAGAGTCCCCCTAAGTTGATGGTATGCTTTGAATACGTCGATTATATTACAAAGTGAGGAGCAATGTAGGGGTCCAGGTGGCCGCATGATGCTGCCGTCGCTTGTGATAATGCGGGAAAAACCACAAATACATAAGGGAAAAAAGGAAGAATAAAATACTAACAAAGTGAGAAAAGCATAGGCTGCAGAATAGAAATAAACAAAAAACAAGAATAGAACAAAAAAGAGAATACCGCACTCTATTGCTCTATTTTAACACAAAAATGCTTTATTCCGGGGTCCACCACGACTCCACGAACACATTGCCGTCACGTATGTGAAGTTATAAAAAAAAGATAGAGATCGCAAAAAGGAAACGTCTGAACAAAAAGTTCCGTCGCGGGCTGTCGAACCTACAGCGCCTGGCTCCGCAACATGCGACGCAAAAGCACTCAACGACAAAGACTACTAACCTCGAGCTATTTGAGTAGACCATTTACCATTGGCAGCGTTCAGAGCTCAACTGGCTCAGAGCGTTTTTTCCACTACTATCGAGACGGCGTGAATGGCGTGAAGAACACGAGTGAAAGGTCGTGCCCTCTCGCATTTGCGATTCGCGCACGCGTCTTTTTGGCATGGTCGCTCGTGGGCGCGCACTTCTGTCTTCGTGTACGTTGTGTACTTTCCGAGAAGTTTGCGTTGGAGTTATGAAGGGCATAATGATCACCTTGCTCACTGTGTGATGGAAAGCTGCTGCTGGCACCACAAGTAAACCATGCGCCAGTTCGCATGTCCTATGTATACTTGGACACTCGTTTCGTGCGTCCTTCGTTGTGTCAGAGCAGCGCGATTTAAGTGTCCGGCTTTGATAGTTGGTCTTCAGCACTTGGTGCATGCATGCTCAGTTTGTGCATCTTTTCTGCTTTAGGTGCGAGGTGAATGTTTCAAGCTGCTTCCCATTCTTCGCGTGGCATTCCAATTTGTTGCTGCAGCCTTAATTCTTTCGCCCTTGTAGCGAAACAATGCACAATATTGCTCATCTTTCTCCGTGAAGACACGTTTTACTTTCGTGTTATGCCGATTCATATAAGTGAAAGATCACGCATGTTTTCTTTCTGTTTTCTTTCAGAGCCCCACAGCGACAAAGAACATGCATTGTACTTTTCGCAGCTGCCATATTTCTTCTGTTTTTTGGCGTCATCTATGTGTACGATTGGAGAAATTACAAACTGTTGAAGTACTGCCAGGAATTGCAGCGTGATAAAATAGTTGTTGAAAGGCCTGGTGAGTGTTTTATGGAGGCACAAAACAATAAAATGACAATTCCCTCGGTAAATGCTCACGTGTTAAACACCCTGACCAGAGTGATATTTTCGGATGCTTCCATCTTTTGCTTGTTTAAATGAAAAGAAATTGATGAGGAAGGAGCAACTTGATCTTAGGTAGATAAGTACACAGTAACAGACTATATGACAAAGCATGACGTTTCTGTAATGTCTTTTCTGTCTCCTTTGTTTATTTGCGTTCAGGTAACCACGGAAATTCTTACTCTTGGTTCAAACAGGTACTGCAGGATTACAAAGTATTCCTTTGAACGTTATTGACACACCAGAAGGTCCCATGGTGGTTAACAAACGAATGAGTCCGTCAGGAGCTTGCAGCGATTCTTCTCTCGAAGTGCCACTTCCAGCTGCTTTCGAGTCTGCTCTTAAAAAGTACGCCATAGTTCCATCAGCTGACGTCAAAGTAGTGGTTATCATTGCCTATTATCGTTCCGGGTCGACCTTTTTTGGTGAGTTGCTGTCTTCTGCACCCCGGACATTCTTCCATTTTGAGCCTCTAATGATGTTCACCGTCAGTGGTGGCATACGACCAGGTAGAGAGTGCCATGCGTTTCAGCTTCTGGACGGGCTTGTCCGGTGCCACTTCGATCCTCTCTACACAGTTTGGCTGGAGAACAACCCTTACTACAAGTACAATCATTTTCTAGCTGACACCTGTGAAAGAGGACAGTCTTGCTCTTCCCCAAGTCATCTCTCTGCTATGTGTTCAAGAGCAGCAACTCAAGTGTTCAAGTTCACAAGACTTCGGGCCACGCAGGTCAGATGCCTTAATCGTAATAGCAAGTTGCGTCAATAGTAGACATCCATATTTGTCTATCTATCTATCTATCTATCTATCTATCTATCTATCTATCTATCTATCTATCTATCTATCTATCTATCTATCTATCTATCTATCTATCTATCTATCTATCTATCTATCTATCTATCTATCTATCTATCTATCTATCTATCTATCTATCTATCTATCTATCTATCTATCTATCTATCTATCTATCTATCTATCTATCTATCTATCTATCTATCTATCTATCTATCTATCTATCTATCTATCTATCTATCTATCTATCTATCTATCTATCTATCTATTATCTATCTATCTATCTATCTATCTATCTATCTATCTATCTATCTATCTATCTATCTATCTATCTATGCAGTCAACATTTTATTTTGTAGGTAACAAAATGCTTTACATTAAGTTAAGAACGTAAAATGTAATCATGTGAGGCCGCTTACAATAGTGTAAGGCCTCTGACACACATTCGATGCGTAAGCGGCCTTAGACTATTGTTACGATAACGCAGTCACTTACTGTACAGCTGGTTGTTCGAGAACCCTTGAACGTATGTTGCAACACAATGCCATGAATTCTTTGTCGATGTATATAACTTTGAAACCTATAGGTATCTTTGTAAAGCGACGTGAACAGTTCACATTTTTGCTTCGATGCATTGTTTTTTGTGTTTCTCGAAAGTGTGAACGTATACAAGGAGCGTCATGTGCTCTCTCATAATTTTGTCTGTTACATCGAGGAGTCTACCACGTGGCGTCATCGCCAACGTCGTCCTAATAGCAGCAGCAGCAGAAGTAGCAGCAGAAGCAGCAGCAGCAGCAGCAGTAGTAGTAGTAGTAGCAGCAGTAGTCAAAGAAATAGTAAGTAGTAACTACAGCAGAATCACTACTAGGAGGTGGTCTGCAGATCACGGGACCAGAGCAATAAAAATGCAGCTTAGCGTCTGGAAGATATAGTCTGGGTACCCGCTCACTCCTACTTACCCGGCAACGAGGCGGCACACCAGACAGATCGTAGACGCACAGACCGAGCCTCTGGATGGCCGTGGTCGAGCTGGGAGGATGATGAGAGATTTGAGCGGATGGCCACTTACAGAGATATTACGCAGTATTACAGACTAAGCAGGAAAATTTATCCTCCCGCACACTCATCGAACCAAGTACAGGCGGTGGCGTGGCGCCTACTCCAGACGCGTACGTTTCCTAGTCCAGGGACATTGAACCGCTGCGTGCCCGAAGTTCATTGAGAGAAGTGTAAATTTTGCAACAACAGGGCGGACTTGAGCCGCATTTTATGGGAATGCCCGCAGGCCCCCATGAGAGGTGAATTCTCAGGCGGGAGCGGATGGAATACCAAGCTCCTCAGCTCTGACACTCAATTACAAGCTGGCCTAATAGGGCAGGCAGAAGGCACCGCCAAGGCCCATGGAATCTGGCCATCGTCTAGGTTTGATACTCCCCTCCCTCACATCTGAAATTGAGAGGAGGATTTTTCTGCTAAATAAATAAAGTTTGTTCATCATTAGCGACTGGAGAGGTGAGAAAGAACACCGAGGGACTACGAGGAAAAGAGAGATAAATTAAAATGTGAAAGGAAAGGAGGTCACGTGATTGACCATGCGGCTATGCATGTCAAGCCCAGCATAAGTGCTTGCCACGCTGCTTGCAGCTATTGCAGTAACAAGCGTTTCGGCTGAGTGGGTGGATGAAATGGCCCTCGTCTGCAGTGGGACGCTATACACTATAGTTTTGTAGTGCGGCTGTGAATGTCTATCTCGCCCCGAGGTATTCACACGTATTAACATGGTGAACAAAAAGGATAAAGTTATTAAATATACTTTCCCAAAACGTCAGAGCAAGAAATGGCAGATCCCGCGTACAGTGGGAATCGATGATATGCAAAGCATGAATGAGGAAGTTTGACAGGTCGCTTCCAAATCAGCACAACTTTACGAGGCGGACGTAAATTATGCTGTACATGCCTTCTATGTCGTGATCATCCTAATTGCGCCAGACATTTCTGTTCGTCATTCGTTCATGTCAGGTTACACTAAAGTTCCTGTGTCATGCTCTCAAAATGACTGAAGTATGGAGGCGAAAACGCTGTAGGCTCGTGTGCTCAGATTTGGTGCACGTTGAAGAACTCCAGATGGTCGAAATTTCCGGAGCCCTCCACTACGGCGTCTCTCATAATCATATGGGGCTTTTGAGACGTCAACTCCCACATATCTATCCTTTAATCGAAAGGACTGAGAGCCCACCATGAGCCTAGCATGCAGTCATGTTTTACTTCACATGCATGGCATGATTATCATGTTTGGAAGAGTCACTTACCTTCGTCGTCCAATCACGTCACGAAACACCAACTTTGGTATATATAAAGCTAGCAAAACGGCCACAAGTGCGCTATAGGCGTAACACGTAGTCATGTTTTACATAACGCGTATATTGTAATTATCATGCTTGGACGTTCGTTTACTTTCTTCATCCATTCACGTCACGTAATACCAAATTTGGTATAGGTGATGTTAGCGGAACGGCCACAAATGCATCATGAGTATAGTATGTAGTGATGTTCCTCCATAACATGTATGTCATAAATATTTTTTCATAAGTCATATAGCTTCGACATCCTTTCACGCCACGTAACACCAAATTTGGTATATGTGAAGATAGCGAAACGACTGCGATCGCGCCATGAGCGTAACATATATTGATGTTTTACATGACAGGCATCTCAAGATTCCCCTGTTATAAGCTGTTACTTAATTTTGCCATGCAGTCGTGTCATACCAAAGCAGTTTTGCAATATGTCATGTGAACGAAGCCACCAGAAGAGGAGCAAAACAATGACATGTACATCACTACAATCATGACATACATGTCATAATTTTCATCTTATCACGTGTCAGTTAGGCTGGTCATGCAGTCATTTTAGGCTTTAACCAATTTGGTATAAATTGCATAATTAAAACAGCCAGGAGAGCTAAAATTTGTAGGCGGTAAATAGATACAAAGGTTCATATGAAGATACGGCCAATCTCACCAAAGTTCGCTAAGAAATGTTTCGAATTTAAAAGGGGATGTCTGACTAACAGGCAACAACTTTAAAATTTCAGCAGCGTCGCTTTGGGTCGAATGTTTTTCGAAGGACAGTATTATGAGCAACGTCGTCAGAGATTCATCATTGCAGAATGTATACGAGGCAGGCCTGAACACAACTAAAGTCTCCTAGTCTCGTTCGTTTGTCTTGTGTCAAACCTGCTTTGTTATTCACGTTTGCAAGTTACATCGAAGACTGTAACATATTCGTAAGCAGTCGCGTTAGTTTACAAATATGTTCCATTGTTCCTGTTGTGCGTGCAACCTTTTCATCGGGAACAATACTAGACATAAGCATTGGTTGCACAAAGCAGTGGTTATACGTGTAACGGGCTGGCTACATTAAAGAAGACAGAGAAGCCCGTGTGGTAATATAAAGTAGTCCAGCCGTACGAAACTGGAGGAATGGAACATATGCAAAGGACAGCAGGTACATATTTTTGAACTAATCCCTATTAGTCATGCTGCTCGTTACTTAACACGATGCAGGTGGCGTCTTGGATTGAGAAAAACCGGAACATTGCGGAGACCATCCGTGTTGTTCACCTAGTGCGAGACCCGCGGGCTATCTACTCTTCCAGAAGAGGTCTTCGCTGGTGCACTGACTACGAGTACTGCGGTAGCGCATCCGCTTTGTGCGATCAAATGAGATCGGATCTAAATGCGTTCGTAGAGATAAGCCAGAAAATGCAGAAAGACAGAACGTACCAGATACGTTTTGAAGACCTCACCACTGATCCGGTAAATGAGACACAGCGCCTATTCGAGTGGTTAGGCCTAGATTTTGCGCCATCAGTAACGAAATACCTGGAGGAGCACACGTCAGCAACTGCCGCAGACATCAGGGATGCGCACTCGACACGAAGAAACACACGCCTGGTTGCACACTCCTGGAGGAGCAAGTTGTTGCCGCGAACTATACGTGAGGTTGAAGTGGCCTGCAGAGACGTTCTTCAAAGGCTTGGCTACGAGGAGTCGTCGACAAGCGTGGATGATGTGAACACGTAATAAAAGAACGATCACTGTGGCCATTCGAATTATGCCAAACATTATCGCAGCTTCATCTGTATTTTATAAATTTGCACTTCTAAAGAACCGCCATAATGTAAGAGAGTCGTTATACAGACGGACCACTGTTAAAAACAACACCTGTGTGTAGTGGCTATCCAGATTTCACGTTCTTGGAAAAGTATAGTGGCTTGAGGTTTGATAGGACTACCGGGGATTCACAGTTGTGGTTCCTTGTGACGGAAAATGTTCATGCATGAACAGCGTTTCCACGTGCCTTTGTAGTAGAGGGTAGGCAGTATGGAACGTGCTCTTTCGGGCGTTTTCTTTAACAGTGAACGGTACTACAATGGTATCTTTAACTTGTGTGAAGACTGGCACTGCGATTGTAATTGGCGCGTGCTTGTGCATGTCCATCAAATATTTTGCCATGTTTAGTTGTACTTTTTTCAGTACAACACAATCCAATGTAGATTTGTCATGAAGACCAACCAATCAGCTGAGATTAAAATATTATTACAATATATTTCTTGTGTACAAAGCGTTTTTCAGTGTTGTTTCGTTTCTACAATCACAACTTCCGCCCAGTAATTGCAATTTGGGTTCGAAACGCGACGACATCCCACTTAACACAAAGCACAAGGAATATTTTCTCCCGCCATACGCACGGCTTTCACATCTCTACAGCATTCGAAGGGTCACCCCCGGCAGATATACAGTGTTTTCCGCTTGGAATGTTAAAAAAAGAGCCAGGTTCTTACATGGCAATATACGCCTAATCTGCGGAAAAAGTAAGAATGACTATTTTTTTTTCAAACAACGTTAATGCACGTACTGCGACCGGCGTAGCATAGGTGAGCGTTCATCAGAACTCCTGAAGTCTTACGTCTGCCAAAGCTGCCTAGAAAGAGAAAAGATGAAGCTCCAAAAGTAGATCTTGTCAAGTCAAAAAGCACTTGCATAGCATTGCACTGAGTTCTTCAGGTGGGCCCCAAGCATGCAAACCAGGTGGCTTGGTCTTCAGTGAGAAAATTGTTACATGTAATTGCTGTTTGCACATAAGACACAGGAATAACTAAGACCGCAATGTATGGGCGAACGCATAGACGTAGCAGCACACAACGCAGAAGCAACAATAAACACGAGCACCCTATTACATTTAGCTACACATATCATGAATTAAGGGCTCTCTCTGACCACAGCAAACAAGGTTTGCTTGTCATATTGCCAGATGTTCTACACAAAAGTTGGCAAAAACTTCACTGGCTTTCAAAATACTATGCCAAAAGCAAAGCGAAGGGCTCAGCCAACGCTAACCGCCCTAAGGCTGGGCAAAAAAGCAAGTGCGATAAAGAAAATCCAAAAATTCTCCCAACACATTTACTTTGTGGCAAACACCCCAAGCTAGAGATGCCATTCAGGAACACCAGCACGAATAGCGGTTCTTGGCAGCACGTGGTTTTGAGATTCCTACAAGCCTACATGAACACCATTCACGTTGATGACTCCTACCCGCACACCTATGGGCTCAAAAAGGTTTTGTTTGGTAACAACCTATGAAACTGTCAAAATATTAGTGTAGGCAGGCAGTACGTGTTTTATTTGATACGCCAATGTACACGTATCATCAGTATCCGTAGGTGAAATTTTGACCTTGGAGACGAATGTGCATTTTATGCTAGGTGCAGTTTACCGTGGGGTCGGTCATTTTATGTCAGTGCATTCTAAACCAAAAGTAGTTCAACACAAAATTAGCGTGTGCACACAGAAAACCGGGATGTGCATAAGTGCGAGCCTTCCTCCGGCTTTACGCGAAATCTTTTTAATTATGTTTATAAACTGTCGGAAGTGAAGCTGCGTGGTCTGATTAAGCATGCGTTCAGGTACATACAACATTAAATTGTGTTCTTCTGTGGCCCAGACTGCAACCAGCTAAACCATAAACTACACGAGGCATTTGAAGGATGCGGGCCGGGGCTTTGGCTCACCGGGCAAATGTGGCAAGGAAGAGAAGCACTGAAATTCCAACCTTTACACGTGTGCTGGTTCTACCGCTGTAGAACTACAAAACCAATCTGGACCCATGGTTCCAACCATTCAAAGAATATAAAGACATAAAGATTCCACGAATTCGTCCTGCCTTAAATGGAAAGAGTGTTGATGATCGACAGGTGACTTTGTGGAGCATATAAACTTATTGGGACATGCAGGCTACCCAAATCACATTTCACCAGGTGATGTCAGAAACAGATGAAGACTTCGAAGCCCGCTCAATCTGCGTCAGCTGGTAAAGACAATGGTCGCAGAGTGAGGTTCACTGTAATGCCTTATGCCATATTTTTCGTGGCTTATAACTGTGGTAAATTGCCACGTTATTGACGTCGTCTTTACTGCACCACAAAAGCTGCCTTGATTTTATGCGCCAGTAAACAGAAAGAAAATATCCCAAGAGGTTTACTGCGAAGTGATTATGTCGGAAGACACGCATGTAAGTCCTTTGAGTGCGCAGTAAGCACCGTCTACCAGATGCCCCTTCGCTGCGCCTGAACACATGTTCGCCAAAGCTGAAGATGCATCAACGTGAGATACAAGTTACACAGGCATTTGCTGAAAAACAAGAAATCATCCAATAAAGCAGCTCACTATAGCAAGAATGTGGGCACTCTCCGCACTGACAAAAACTAAAATGTTGTCCAAAGGGCTATTGACATCACAGAGCGCTCTCGTGGGTATGCTGTTCCTGTGATACGTAATAACCATGTCACGAACTCGTCACTCTCAGAATTGATAGCCTCGACCGTTGAAAAAACAATGACGAAGCTAATGGAGAACCTTTTCGTGAAACTGATGGAGTCATTTGCTCAAATAGTAAATGCACAAATTGCTCGTTCTCATGAATGTTAATAATCCAGATGCAGCCTCTAGGCTTTGTTCAGCTAACGTGGTGAATACAGAATCTCTAGAAACAGAGCCTTCTAAACCCAGCCCCACAATAACAACACCTATTGAAGAGTTGTATTCATCAAGAGCTGGTCCGTCGGACTGCGGCCGTAAAATAATCCCTATTGAACATATTAAACTTTTAATTGGAGCTCTGATTCAAGTTCGCAGGACTCACAAATGGAATTCGACTAAAAAAATAAAACGGCGAGCGTCGCCACGAAAACATGGATCTCCAGTAAGTTCTAAAGGGAAAAGTAAAGAAAATATCAGAAAAAATAGGATCAAAAGAGGATTTTTTGAAATATAGTTCATACTGAAAACCAAAATTGGAGTCCGCATATAGAAAATATGGCAGCTAAAGGAGTACGGGTGCTTGGGATGCTTCGTAGACTCAGCAATAAACGTTCTGGTTTGCGTCGTGATGTGCTGGTCATTGCAGAAGGCAGTGAATGCTGCCGGTATATCTTTAAAATTGGTAGTATAACAATTTTGTAGTAAAACTGCCGGTCAATTTTTTCGCACCTACTGATTTATTTCACCTCTGTATTCAGCGTTCCTCAGATGTTATAGTGTTGCAAGAAACTTGGCTCTCTAAAGAGAAAATCTTTAACCCTAAAAACTACCACAGATTTCACTTAGACCGCCCCTCTCGAGGTGCCGGATTAGCAGTGTTTATCTCTTCGAAAGTTGCGCATCGGGTTGAAGGTAAAGGTTAAATACTGAATTTAGAAAGTGAAATTTTAGCATTATGTACCCCTCTTCCAGGATACATTCCTTTTTCGTTAGAAAACGCTTATATTTCCCCAGGTGTTAAAAATTCTAGTGTTTTAGATACCGTAATATTGTCACGAGGTAAACAAGACTCACAGCCTGGAGCTCACCCGAACCAGAGCCACGAAAATGTTCTCTTCTTCTTCAGGGCCCAAAACGAGTATGAGCCACAGCAGCTCGTTCATCTCTGGTGGCATTACCCCCTCTCCCAAGAAGCATCGCCTCGATGCTGTACATAAAGGCAAAAAAAAAGAGAAATTGAGACGAAAATTACCATGCAATCAAAATGATTGGCGTAAGGCGGAAAAACGTAGTTGCTTCTGCAGTCAAGAGTTATATGAGAAATAAGAATAATAGGAAAGATTGCAAAGAAAAGACGAAAGAAAAAGAAAGACGCGAAGTTACCGAAAAAGTCAGTCACTCACTGGCGATTCACAGCGTGAAAAGTATGATTTTAGCCGTGAAACATGAATGACTTCAGTTTGCAGGGTGAAACGAGAGCGTCTCGAAGCGCCTTCTGGGAGAACCTCGTAAGTGACGTCGCTGAGACGTCGTACGACTTTGTAAGGGCCGAAGTGGCGGCGAAGAAGCTTTTCTGAACGGCCACGCTGTCGTATAGGGGTCCACACCCAGACATCACGAGGCTTGAAAATAACTTCACGGTGGCGAAGATTGTAGCGGCACGCGTCTGTGGTTTGGTGATGTTGAATACGGTGACGAGCAAGTTGACGGGCCTCTTCTGTGCACTGTGCGAAGATGGCGACATCCGTGTGGTATATTCTTAAGTTGTCGGACAGAAGCATGGCGTCGAGCATTGTGGTGACCTCGTGACCGTGGACTAAGCGAAAAGGTGTGAAACCAGTACTTTCTTGAACAGCAGTGTTATACGCAAAAGGTACGTAAGGAAGTATGGCGTCCTAGTTCTTGTGACTGATGTCCACATACATTGACAGCATGTCTGCAATCCTCTTATTGAGACGTTCAGTCAGCCCGTTTGCTTGAGGGTGGTAAGCCATTGTTTTACGATGTTCCGTGCCACTTAAATGCAAGGCTTCCTGCCGCATCTCTGCGGTGAAAGCTGTCCCACGATCAGTTTTGACGACAGCTGGTGCACCGTGACGTTAGACGATGCTGTTAATGAAAAATTGGGCGACGTCTGCTGCGGTGGCTTTTGGAAGTGCCTTGGTTTCACAGTAGCGTGTTAAGTAGTCGGTAGTGACCACAATCCACCAGTTTTCTGACAAAGACGCAGGGAATAACCCCAGAAAGTCCATGCCAATCTGATGGAAGGGCACCCTTGGTGGGCCTATTGGTTGCAGTAGTCCCGCTGGTCGTAAAGGTGAAATCTTGCGTCGCTGACAGTCATGACATGTGCGAACGTAGTGTTTAACAGTCTTTGCGAGACGTGGCCAGTAGTAGGAGCATTGAATCGTTGCAACGTGTGCGTATAGCCGAGGTGTCCGGACGATGGCTCATCATGACACGCACGAAAAAAATGCCACCACGAAGCGTAGTTGGTGCAACAAGCAGATACTTAGCTTGTGTAGGATTAAAGTTCTTTTTATAAAGCACTCCATCGCGGAAACAAAGGATAGCGAGCGTGCAAAGCTTCGAGGAGGGTGGGAATTGCGTCCTTCCAGGTAGTCAATGAGCGGGATGAGCTCCGAGTCATGACGCTGTTGCTCAGCCAAGTAGGGCGCTGTCACGACAGAAAGAAAAACGTCGTCGTTTTCAAGGTCAGTGTTGGCATTTTCTATCAGTGCACGTGAG